GCTTCCAATCCTCCCGGCGGAGAATCTCCGCCGGGAGAACCTGGGCTTCCAATCCTCCCGGCGGAGAATCTCCGCCGGGAGAATCTGGGCTTCCAATCCTCCCGGCGGAGAATCTCCGCCGGGAGAATCTGGGCTTCCAATCCTCCCGGCGGAGAATCTCCGCCGGGAGAATCTGGGCTTCCAATCCTCCCGGCGGAGAATCTCCGCCGGGAGAATCTGGGCTTCCAATCCTCCCGGCGGAGAATCTCCGCCGGGAGAATCTGGGCTTCCAATCCTCCCGGCGGAGAATCTCCGCCGGGAGAATCTGGGCTTCCAATCCTCCCGGCGGAGAATCTCCGCCGGGAGAATCTGGGCTTCCAATCCTCCCGGCGGAGAATCTCCGCCGGGAGAATCTGGGCTTCCAATCCTCCCGGCGGAGAATCTCCGCCGGGAGAATCTGGGCTTCCAATCCTCCCGGCGGAGAATCTCCGCCGGGAGAATCTGGGCTTCCAATCCTCCCGGCGGAGAATCTCCGCCGGGAGAATCTGGGCTTCCAATCCTCCCGGCGGAGAATCTCCGCCGGGAGAATCTGGGCTTCCAATCCTCCCGGCGGAGAATCTCCGCCGGGAGAATCTGGGCTTCCAATCCTCCCGGCGGAGAATCTCCGCCGGGAGAATCTGGGCTTCCAATCCTCCCGGCGGAGAATCTCCGCCGGGAGAATCTGGGCTTCCAATCCTCCCGGCGGAGAATCTCCGCCGGGAGAATCTGGGCTTCCAATCCTCCCGGCGGAGAATCTCCGCCGGGAGAATCTGGGCTTCCAATCCTCCCGGCGGAGAATCTCCGCCGGGAGAATCTGGGCTTCCAATCCTCCCGGCGGAGAATCTCCGCCGGGAGAATCTGGGCTTCCAATCCTCCCGGCGGAGAATCTCCGCCGGGAGAATCTGGGCTTCCAATCCTCCCGGCGGAGAATCTCCGCCGGGAGAATCTGGGCTTCCAATCCTCCCGGCGGAGAATCTCCGCCGGGAGAATCTGGGCTTCCAATCCTCCCGGCGGAGAATCTCCGCCGGGAGAATCTGGGCTTCCAATCCTCCCGGCGGAGAATCTCCGCCGGGAGAATCTGGGCTTCCAATCCTCCCGGCGGAGAATCTCCGCCGGGAGAATCTGGGCTTCCAATCCTCCCGGCGGAGAATCCCCGCCGGGAGAATCTGGGCTTCCGATCCTCCCGGCGGAGAATCTCCGCCGGGAGAATCTGGGCTTCCGATCCTCCCGGCGGAGAATCTCCGCCGGGAGAACCTGGGCTTCCGATCCTCCCGGCGGAGAATCTCCGCCGGGAGAATCTGAGCTTGTTATCCTCCCGGCGGAGATTCTCCGCCGGGAGGATCGGGGGAAAAGGATCTGCTTGACTGAGGGTCTTGAAGCGGATATTTGAAACGGATAAAAATAAAACTTTGAAATTTCGTGGATATTCGTGGACGATAAAAATAAAATTTTGAAATTTCGTGGACCAGGACAACAGCAGCGCGGAAGCTTCTGTTTGGTCTGCCCGCCGGGAGGATCTGAGCTTGCAATCCTCCCGCTCCGCTGGGAGAATGTGAGCTTCCAATCCTCCCGGCGGAAAACAATCTCCGCCGGGAGAATCTGGGCTTCCAATCCGATTAGGTGACTGTCTGTGTTGGTAAGCGTATTTCCAAAGCCCGCAGTCCCGTCGGGGCCGCAGGTATTATTTTGCCCCGAAAACCTGCGCTGTTTTCGGCTGGTCTGCGTTCTTTTGTGCCTCCGAGCAAAGCCCGTAGCCCCTTCGGGGTAGCAGGTATTTTTCCGCCGCCGGACTTGCCGCGCTGCCGGCAAGCCCGGAGCCCTTGTTGCGTATTTCCAAAGCCCGTCGTCCCGTTGGGGCAGCAGGTATTTTTTTGCCCCGAAAGCGTGCGCTTTTTTCAGCTGGTCAGCGGTGTTTTGTGCCTTCCTGCAAAGCCCGTAGTCCCATCGGAGCAGCAAGTATTTTTCCGCCGCAGGACTTGCCGCTCTGTTGGCAAGTTCGGAGCCTTTTGTCGTATTTCCAAAGCCCACACCAGTCCCTTCGGGGCAGCAGGTGCTTTCTGCCCCGAAAACCTGCGCTGCTTTCGGCTGGTCAGCGGTCTTTCGTGCCTTCCTCCAAAGCCCGTAGTGCCGTCGGGGCAGCAGGTACTTTTCCGCCGCAGAAATTGCCGCTCCGCCGGCAAGCCCGGAGCCCTTTTTGCGTATTTCCAAAGCCCGCAGTCCCGTCGGGGCAGCAGGTATTTTTCCGCCGCAGAACTTGCCGCTCTGTCGGCAAGTTCGGAGCCTTTTCTCGTATTTCCAAAGCCCGCAGTCCCGTCGGGGCAGCAGCTGCTTTCTGCCACGAAAACCTGCGTTGCTTTCGGCTGGTCTGTGGTCTTTTGGGCCTTCCTCCAAAGCCCGTAGTCCCGTCGGGGCAGCAGGTACTTTTCCGCCACAGAAATTGCCGCTCTGCTGGCAAGCCCGGAGCCCTTTTTGTGTATTTCCAAAGCCCGCAGTCCCGTCGGGGCAGCAGGTATTTTTCTGCCCCGAAAACCTGTGTTGCTTTTAGTTTGTCGGCGGTCTTTTGTGCCTCTCTCAAAAGCCCGTAGTCCCGTCGGGGCAGCAGGTATTTTTCCGCCGCAGGACTTGCCGCGCTGCCGGCAAGCCTGGGGTCTGTTTTGTGTACTTCTAAAGCCCGTAGTCCCATCGGGGCAGCAGGTATTTTTCGTCCCCGAAAACCTGCGCTGTTTTCGGCTGGTCAGCGGTCTTTCGTGCCTTCCTCCAAAGTCCGTAGTGCCGTCGGGGCAGCAGGTACTTTTCAGCCACAGAAATAGCCGCTCCGTCGGCAAGCCCGGAGCCCTTTTTGCGTATTTCCAAAGCCCGCAGTCCCGTCGGGGCAGCAGGTATTTTTCCGCCGCAGAACTTGCCGCTCTGCCGGCAAGTTCGGAGCCTTTTCTCGTATTTCCAAAGCCCGCAGTCCCGTCGGGGCAGCAGGTGCTTTCTGCCCCGAAAACCTGCGCTGCTTTCGGCTGGTCTGTGGTCTTTTGTGCCTCTCCCTAAAGCCCGTAGTCCCGTCGGGGCAGCAGGTATTTTTGCGCCGCAGGACTTGCCGCTCTCATCTGTCGGCAAGCCCGGAGCCTGTTTTGTGTACTTCTAAAGCCCGCAGCCCCGTCGGGGCAGCAGGTATTTTTTTGCCCCGAAAAGCAAAAGCTGTCTTGTTTTTGGCAGGTCTGCGGCCTTTTCCCGCGCACAGAGTAGGAGTTTCTGCCCGTCTCGAAAGCGCCGAGTCCCCCGCGGGCCGGGGGGGTCTTTACCTGCGGCTTTTCGGCACACGAGAAACGGCATTTTTTGCGCGCAGCGAAAGCGCCTAGTCCCCCGCGGGCCGGGGGGGTCTTTACCTGCGGCTTTTCGGCACACGAGAAACGGCATTTTTTGCGCGCAGCGAAAGCGCCTAGTCCCCCGCGGGCCGGGGGGGTCTTTACCTGCGGCTTTTCGGCACACGAGAAATGGCATTTTTTGCGCGCAGCGAAAGCGCCTAGTCCCCCGCGGGCCGGGGGGGTCTTTACCTGCGGCTTTTCGGCACACGAGAAATGGCATTTTTTGCGCGCAGCGAAAGCGCCTAGTCCCCCGCGGGCCGGGGGGGTCTTTACCTGCGGCTTTTCGGCACACGAGAAATGGCATTTTTTGCGCGCAGCGAAAGCGCCTAGTCCCACGCGGGCGGGGGGGGTCTTTACCTGCGGCTTTTCGGCACACGAGAAATGGCATTTTTTGCGCGCAGCGAAAGCGCCTAGTCCCACGCGGGCGGGGGGGGTCTTTACCTGCGGCTTTTCGGCACACGAGAAATGGCATTTTTTGCGCGCAGCGAAAGCGCCTAGTCCCACGCGGGCGGGGGGGGTCTTTACCTGCGGCTTTTCGGCACACGAGAAATGGCATTTTTTGCGCGCAGCGAAAGCGCCTAGTCCCACGCGGGCGGGGGGGGTCTTTACCTGCGGCTTTTCGGCACACGAGAAATGGCATTTTTTGCGCGCAGCGAAAGCGCCTAGTCCCACGCGGGCGGGGGGGGTCTTTACCTGCGGCTTTTCGGCACACGAGAAATGGCATTTTTTGCGCGCAGCGAAAGCGCCTAGTCCCACGCGGGCGGGGGGGGTCTTTACCTGCGGCTTTTCGGCACACGAGAAATGGCATTTTTTGCGCGCAGCGAAAGCGCCTAGTCCCACGCGGGCGGGGGGGGTCTTTACCTGCGGCTTTTCGGCACACGAGAAATGGCATTTTTTGCGCGCAGCGAAAGCGCCTAGTCCCACGCGGGCGGGGGGGGTCTTTACCTGCGGCTTTTCGGCACACGAGAAATGGCATTTTTTGCGCGCAGCGAAAGCGCCTAGTCCCACGCGGGCGGGGGGGGTCTTTACCTGCGGCTTTTCGGCACACGAGAAATGGCATTTTTTGCGCGCAGCGAAAGCGCCTAGTCCCACGCGGGCGGGGGGGGGTCTTTGCCTACCGCTTTTTGGCGCGCACAAAGTAGGAGTTTCTGCCCGCCCGTCTCGAAAGCGCCAAGCCCCACGGGGGCCGGGAGGTCTTTTCCCGCTGCTTTTCGGCGCCCAAAAAGTGGCATGTTCTGCGCGCCGCGAAAGCGCCAAGCCCCACCCGGACTTAAAGTCAGCGAAAGCGCTAGGACGAGCAGTGCCGCACCCCTTTCAAATGGCTCAAAAATGAGTCATCGCTGGCAATCCATCTATCGTCGCTTCTTATTACTTAACTTCGCTTACTAGAAATACAGTGATAAGTTCGAGCGTGCATCGTTGTATCCGAGCGGAGTTGCAGTTTACGTTCCTGAGAGCTCGCCTGCTTCGTGTAGGTCATTGAATTGTATCGAGTGCCTCGTCTGTCTGTGTCTCGGTGAGTTCGGTCGTTTGTTTGATAGTTTCACTTTGCGTCAGACTTGAAGATATGCAGAGTACGCAACCGCGCCGTTGTATTTGCTATTTCTCTTTCTCCACAAAATCAGGACGGCGTAGAACTCCCAACCCTTCGTGAACATTTAATTACTGACTGCAGATTCATCAGATTGTCAGCCCCTGATATAATATGACATCCAGATCCACCAGTTTCAGTTTGTCACTATAGAGATTTCGGGGTGTAATTCAGTGACTCGAGAAACAGAAATCATGCCGACCCCGCCGTGCTTCGCGAAGCGTACCGCTACCCTCCCAGATGATCCTTTTGATCGTTTGATGGAGTTGAACAACTATCTGTTACAGTTGAGCCAAGAGGTAGCAGTAACGCAAGTGAAGATCGCGGAGACCATCTCGATTTGTCGGGCGACACGCACAAGCACTCGCACGGACCAAGCCGTACAAACAGGTATAGAGGAAGCGGAAGAAAAGCTTATTTAGAAAATAATACTTGCTTCTGAGCCTGAGGCGCAAGGTTCCTATGCCTCCCTGTGCGCCGATTTTTTTTGTTCAAGCATTACCCCTAATTCAGTATTGCGAGAAAGACGCATTGGTTTCTAGGGGCAAAGAATGATGTCAGCGTTATGTTTTTATCGAATCAGATGGCATTCTTGGCGACAGTGGTGCCATTGGGCAGGACCAGGTGGAAGAAGAAGAGGAAATAAAATTGATCGCGGGGGGTAGCTCGAGCAATTGCAATTCCAACTCTATTGACCGCCAACCTCCGTTAGCCGACTTTGAACTCCTCGAGAATCGCGACCAAATTGAAGAGGACCATACACTTGGTAAAAATGATAAATCATCTTCACATCTGCCTATTGATTTGCCTCAAACACCATGTACTCTTAAAAAAACGCATGAGAGAACATAGATTAGATGCATGTCTCTCGTCTTTCCTGTTTCTTCCGGCTCTACCCATGGTTGTATCGCTGTTTGATGTCAGTGTTTCCTTGGTGGCGTCGTGAGCTTTCTCTAATTTCCACAATTTGAATTTTTGCGCACGTGGTTGTCTCCATAAGTAACAAGTGTAAGTGTTTCGATTTTGTATGCAGATGGATCATTTTATGAACGTACGGTGGTGGAATGGACCCACCCGAATTGGCAATGGCATTGCTCATACGTAGTTAATTGCAGGACGACTCTTGGTACCTGCGGCAAGCGCGAGTTTTTTTTAAGAAGCAGCGGACTTTTTCGAAAAAACAGGTACGAATCCGGCTCATAAAAAGCGCAGCGCAGCTTCCACGCCGCTGGAGGAGCACATGGACGGCGGGCTTTCTGCACTCGGGGTGCAGCGGCCGAAGGTCGCGCGGCGACTCAGCGGTATTTATATTCTGCTTGAGCACGACGCGAAGTAGATTTCCACGTTTTTAGGAAGAATGTAAAGCGCGTCTCTTTCATTCATGGCCACGAAATCACGGATCGTTTTCGGTAGAATCCTGTTTGACAAGAATCTACCTTACTTAGATGTAGATCGGTTTTTTTGTTCTCGCCTGCGAAAAGGACGAGAAGGTACTTGATCCTGTCATCTGACAAGGGAGAGGATAACCACACAGTCGTGCATTTTGATTTCTGATAACCGGTCCTACAACTCCATCAGCACGGCAAACACAATAAAAACAGACGTCGGACCAGGGGAGGTGAATCTGCTGGACCAGCAGCATCAGCTTCAGTCCGGGGACAAAACGCACGATACGCATTCGTCGTCGACGAAGCAGACCGACGAAACTGCACTGGACCAGCACGCCACGACGAAGGACGACCAGTGTGAGACACAGCAGAGTGCGAAGGGTCCAGCCGAGGTGCAGAAGGTCTTGGAACAGCCGGAAAAGCAGCTGAAGCAGTTTTCGTCATCGCAGGTAGATGCCTATGGGAGAAACAGCTTGCTGCACGCCCTCCACGGAAACGAGGAAGCCGCTCAGAACCCCTTGCACAAGAAGAAGTTCCACACCGATAGGTACGGGAGTTTCGGGCACGTGTACAAGGTCAAGCCAGCTAACAACAGCAAAGCCTACGCAGTGAAAGTTGTCAACCTCGACCGGTTGTTCGAGGGAGACCCCGAGGACGTGCTGAGGGAAGGCCTGGCTTTAGACTTCTTCCGCAATTTAAAAAGCAAGCCCGCCGAGGTCTGCTACGCCTGGCGGCCCAGCAAGGTGTACACCTACGTCCTGAACGGCAGAGAGGCAAGGCACCTGGTAAGTGTTGTTCATTGTTGTTGTAAATATACGCGTTTGTCGCAGCCTGCGGGCTTGTCGTTGCTTGTGAAGTAGACTAAGACTGCACTTATCGCAGACTGTGCATTCGCCTTGCTATGTTGTGCGCATAAATTTTTTCTCGATTTTTCTTCTATTGCTATTGGAAAAAAAGACGCGGGGACGAAATTAATGCAACCACAGGTTTTCTCCATGCCTTTTGTGAACCCCGTCATCCCGAAAGGCACCTCGTTCATGACGATAATCAGAAAGGGATTGAAAACCTCAGCTGTCGGAGACGTCAAGGAAGTGCGCCAAGTTTTTCACAAGATGCTCCGAGGGCACCGCTTCGCGCGTAAAACGTTGAAGGCAGTGCATCATGACATCGACGAGGGGAACGTGATGATCACGACATGCACCTCTAGTGAGTCGCGGAAGAAGCCGCGGGTACTTATTTGAAGCTGCTGTTCGTTCTTTTCCTTGTGCGACCTTTTCGCGCTTCTGTTATTGAAAAAAGATTTTGCTACTAGCACCGCGTAAGTCTCACAACAAAATGTAAATATGATAATTCTTTCTGCACAAGGTAGAGGGAACAGAATATCGCAAGAACCTGTTCCTGCATATGGGGGAGGAGCTTCTGCTCGTTCTCGCCGTAGCAGTCACCTCCGCTGCTCGTTGGAGCACTCTCCTATTGCCTTGTAAAGGATTTTTTCTACCCGAATCCACAGGTAGCCACTCCCATTTTGGCCGATTGGGGGAAACTGCGACTTATCGGAGCCAAAACACCCGACACATACGGTAAGAGTGCTTATGCTCCTGGATCGCGTTTGACAAAGAGCACGGAGCGTCCGGCGGTCAGCCATGGTGACGATGATCCAGCCCTCGCGTTGACGTTATTCGAGTACGTCACCGGGGAAAACTTTGCGAAGTTCGGGTTCCAGGTGACAATCTTTTTTTATTAATTTCTAGTAGAGATCCAGATCGTTGTTTTTGTTGAAGCGTTTCTTTCTGTGTTTCACGGTCCAAGACTCTGCTGCCGCTTCCGACGGTGAGGTGAACAAGATACAAAAGCTTTCAACTGATGAATTTCGCATCACACTGAATCTTTTGACTCTTCCAGTTCTCACCCGACGCCAGCGGAAATTTCACCGCGCACAAACGTGGACTGAAGGCGTTTGGGGACCAGCTGAAGCTACCGTTAAGGCAGGAGATGAACGTGAAGCCGGAGGCGGCATTCAAGAAGCTGAAAAGCAACGCGAGTGAGGAGGACGCGGGGCTGTTCGGCAGGAGTATGGTTCTCCAGTTTCGGAACAAGTTCGGCGACCCTTGCTCGACCGAGCTGGATGATTTCTGCACCGAGCTGGCTCCGTTCATCCTCGAAGACAACGACCCGCAGGCCGACGCGTCGGCGGTCGCCATCGCCGCCGAGTTTCCCGCTGGACAGGAGAACGCTTTCCCCATGGAGAAGCACTGGGCCGCTAGCAAAGAAGAGCTATTGAGCCACTTCGAGGCCGAGACGCGTACTGTGCCGGCAGTGTAGACCTCCTGAGAGGACTTGCTGGGCGAGTTCTAGCATTCAAGCGCGCGCGGAGTGGTTGCTTGTAATTATTTACTTTTTGGAAGCGTGCTCACTCTTATTTGCTCTGTACGATGAACGAACGAGACTTGTGTATTTGAGTTGGACTCTCCTGTCTAACATTTGAGCCACTAAACTAATGACAAAGAATATTCCAGGGTTTGATTTCAAGTTTAGATAGAGAGAAACACAAACATGTTCAAAGAAATGAATAAGCTTGCTTTGAGTGATGTCCGTTTCATTCCGACAATAACTTACAGTTGTCCTTCGGGCACGATTTACTTTTGAACAGAACTGTGTATGATATTAATTTACGATAGCTTCGCTTTCGGCGTTGCCAGGAGACAATACAACGCAACCTATGTTGAGTAGAACAAAACCCGAGCCCATAGGCACCATTCAACGCTAATCGCATCTTTGCTCGTTTCGAAGACGAGTTTTCTTTTTTCAGCAATTTCCCCACTTCCGCAGATAAATCGGTATTTTTGTCTTCCTTTTTGTGTTGCGATTCTGAGCTCTAGTCCTTTTTATTTGAAGCTGCTTTCTCGGTATATTTGCTGGCGAGCCTAGATACAAGTTGAAGTTGAGCTTTTACTTTACCTTTAGCCAATACCTTATTCCTCACAGTGAGTATCCAGCTTCGGACACACTCAAACTCAATTCGCTTTTAGTTGTTGTATGATTAGCTTGTCCACAACAAACAGATATCCTATGGTTAGCTCACTAAAGAAATAACCTGGATGGTAGATAGAAGGTGACTATAGAGCTTTCCTGCTTTATTCTTGTATGATTAGTACCTACTTGTAATTCTAATTCACTTGTTTGCCCACATGCGAAATCCGTCGATTTTGTTGCTGGGCTTAGGAGAACTCCGTTTTCGATTTCAATCTCATTCACCCGAGATATAAACAAACCAGCTCTAGGACATTTTTCCACGAGCATGGCAATCCGAGATGGAGTGGGTACTTGCAGAGAATGCTCGACCACGAGAACCAAAGACCTTTACGCCAGCGCGGGTGTCATTTTCCCTGTGAGAAAGCAAAAAATAGAAAATTGTCCGCACAGCGCTGTGATTGCCGACCAGTATCCAACAGAAAAAAAAGGCAAGAGCACGAAAAGGCAAGATAGAACCTAAAGAGGGCTGGCCCGCAAATAAATATAGATACCGCACAGATCCGATTTGGCAGCTTCCTTTTTTCGTCAGCAGAAAAGTGCAGTCGGGCTCCGGTCGACGATGGGATATCGGCAAAGTGATAGCTGGCAGTCGGTGCCTTTTTCGAATAGTTGTAGAAGAAAAGGCTTACTTAGCACAAGGGGAGTGCAAAACTCGCTGAGGCGAGGGCTCAAACCGATAACACTCAGATTTGAGTGAAAGGGGCGGCGTTGTCCTTTTGGCTGGCTCGCAGGCTGACTGATCGGCAGGAGCGCGGAGGCGACTCGAGAAGCCGGAGCGCAAAAGTCTGCGCACACCATACGGATATGGGAGCCGGGTGCGCGCCCCTTTTTCCCCCATTCATTGCTTGACGGGCAGGAGCGCGGCGCCGAGAAGCCGGAGCGCAAAAGTCTGCGCAGAGCATGCGGATTGGGGTGCCGGGCCGCGTCTCTCTTGCTTCTTCTTGCGTTCTTGACCGGCAGGAGCGCGGTGGCGACTCGAGAAGCCGGAGCGCAAAAGTCTGCGCACACCATGTGGATATGGGTGCCGGGTTCGCGCCCTTTTTCCCCCATTCATCGCTTGATGGGCAGGAGCGCGGCGCCGAGAAGCCGGAGGGCAAAAGTCTGCGCAGAGCATGCGGATTGGGGTGCCGGGCCGCGTCTCTTTTGTTTCTTCTTGCGTTCTCGATCGGCAGGAGCGCGGTGGCGACCCGAGGGGCCGGAGTGTAAAAGCCTGCGCAGACCATGCGGAAGATATGGGTGCCGGGCTCGCCCCCATTTTTCCCCCATTCATTGCTTGACGGGCAGGAGCGCGGCGCCGAGAAGCCGGAGCGCAAAAGCCTGCGCAGAGTGTGCGGGTTGGGGTGCCGGGCCGCGTCTCTTTTGTTTCTTTTTGCGTTCTTGATCGGCAGGAGCGCGGTGGCGACTCGAGAAGCCGGAGGGCAAAATTCTGCGCACACCATGCGGATATGGGGGCCGGGTTCGCGCCCCTTTTTCCCCCATTCATTGCTTGACGGGCAGGAGCGCGGCGGGGAGAAGCCGCAGTGCAAAAGTCTGCGCAGAGCGTGCGGATTGGGGTGCCGGGCCGAGTCTCTTTCGCTTCTTCTTGTGTTCATTCTTGATCGGCAGGAGCGCG